TGACAATGTGGATAGGATTCTGCTGTAATCTTATTTGAAAAGGAATATGAAATTAATGATAATATTAATTAAGGCAAACAAACGAAACAACTACTTGAATACCAATAACTTCTATGTGTTTTATTCATGTGAAAAAAAGACAAGTGACGATCGAAATATTTCTTGGTTTCCGATTACTGTTATGGCTCAAAGGAGAAGAAGTTGAAGAATGCACCGACTTTTTATATCAATTAATGACATATATAATAATGGTGAGCCCCGCAAGCCGATGCTCTACTAGTGCACCTACTCAGCTCCAGTATTACAAAATGAAAGTAATAAAAGACAGAACTAATTTGTATCCGCTTACTTCAAAGAGCAAATAAATCAATACAAAAACAATAGATGCGTTGATGGACGTGACGTTTTAGTGTTTTTTTTGGAAAAGTTGCTCGTAATAAGAGAAAAGGTAGTTCACAAATCAAGAAATGTATCTCTTTGTATCTGATTATGTATCTGATCTGATAACAAAAAATATATTTCTCATCATTTTTAAACTTTCGCGTTGCATTATACTAGATTGTATGAAAAGCGTATTAACGCGATAGAAAGCGGGTATTAACGCGTAACCCGATCTAACCCGGTCGAAACGTCGGGAAATATATCTAACTATCAATCTATCGCGTTAATTCTCGTTTCATATAATCTAATATATCTCGTCAATTTTCAAGCAATTCACATTAAGTTAATTTATTAGGTTAGATAAAAAAGATAATCGATAAGTCAGTTATTGCCAGCAAATGTGTATTTCTAATTATTTTATTTTATTAATTTTGTATTTTTCATTAATGATGTATTTCTAAGTCAATTTGCAATTTATGTCATACTCGACTACACTAAATTTGAACTCGAACAATGTATAGAAAATAGATTTATGTTTTTCAACGACACCCGTTGTCATACAGTCGGTCAAAAACCTATAGATCTTAGATTGATAGAGTTAGGTAAAAGTTTTTAGTGCTTTCGTCTAGCTTGGTGAGCTGTTTTAAAGTTAAATGACGCAACGTTTTATGACTGCATTTTACTGCATTCAAGTTACAGTTAAGCATAATCACCGATAGTGATCTGCCGTTGAGAGTGGACAACGTAATGGTGACTAATTCAATTTTTTATGGGCGCCAGTTCTGTCGTACCACACTCGTGACTAAATCTAATATTTATTTTGTGTTTAATATAAAAAAGTTATTAAATACCGATTAACCACTATTTCCGCTAAAGCTATATACGCTCTAGACTTAGGAATACTAATTCACAAACGTATTATAAAAAAAAATTGACGATAATACTAATTTGGTATAAATATGAGACTTACCGAACGTTCATGCTACTAAATCCCCTTCACAACAAAATGCAACTACACTATAATATAAAGTATAAGTTATAACGTATATTATTATGTTGAATAACTAATGTAAAACTATGGACCTAATAACATTTAATTTTCGTCAGACCGTCTTGTTCATTTACTGAAGTAAATAATATTGGCCCCCAAAGTTACCCCTAATATTATATCACCCTGGGCTTCTACTCAATTTGCTCGTAAATAGGCCACTGGGCACTTCATTATTGTTTTTCCTAACTGAACAATAAAATATAGCAGGGTAATATTAGAATGAATTTATTATAAAACTCTTTATACAAACAATCATAAGTTCTACGAATTTTAGTTTGACATTGGTACAATTCTATTGCACAAACTAGACTAATATTTTCGGTATTTTAAGTTCTCTACTTAACTAATAAGTAGTAAACTTATTGTATAAGGTGTTAATTATATGGATGATATTTGAGTTTTTTTACTGATAAATGAGAATAATGTAATTTTCAAATCTTCGCGTATACCTACAACAAAAAGATTTGAAAATTAACAGTGGAAGATAGACGCTTTTGTTTACGACTCACAGTGAAACCATTAAAGCCGAAACAGCCAGAGGTCGTTTACGAGGCAATCTGGAGCATCTCTTTGAATCAGCCGTTGCTGTGTCGGGCTGCCGGCACGTCACAGACGAGGCGGCGACACGAACGGCGCCTATGACGCATATACAATGGTTGAAGACATACTTTCATAATCTAGATTATTATAAAATATTGATAAAAATAACAGATCGGATCGGATTAGTTCATACTATTATAATGCCATATTTCGATCAATATAATCACGATATTATTTTTCGCCGTTCCGCCGTTTGTACAATTTATTTATTTATTTAAATTATTAGAAACAGGAATCCTTTAACTTACGGGAAGAAAACACGTGATTGTTTGAAATAGTCATTATTTCAAACATCGATGTAATATCACAAAATTTCTATTGTTATTATAGGTATACGTCGCCAGCCCTAGTCAGTTCTTTTCTGTCAGAGTCGTTATGAATTGGAGGAGAGCCGGCCGGAAGCAAGAGCGCTTGACACAATCTCTGACACTTCCTAATTGAAGTGGAGCTGAAATTAAATATGAATGTGCATTGCATGCACACGAAATATATTACCACAGATATTACACAACCAACTACTGAATTTGCTTACGTGGCATTAAGTAGTGTGTGAAACAAAAGTGTTAAATATGTTTCATTACTTTACTCTTATATACTATTGTACTATTATTATAATTAAAAGTACTGTCAAATACTTTAAATTATAATAATATAAAATAACAAGAAAATCTCCTTTGAGTATTGTGATATTTCTATTGCTTGATATTTCTGAAAGAAATGCGTGGTTTGAGTGAACAACTTCAAATCCTTTACCGTTAAGTTATTCATTGAAATATAAAAAGAATAGAGGCAGATAGATAAATATTATATAAACTAATGTCTTATTAACACTTAAAAAAATTGTCAGATACCAACAATGCAGTTCCGTTACAATATATGTACATCGTCGAACGTAGCATTGTTAATGAATTAACTAATAGTTTATTTGGTGTCGTGGGTCCGTTTTTAACAGAAACAATTCTCATATTTTCTTCGACTTTATTAAGGTTGATAAGATGGAGTATTCGTCTATTTGTCAGTACCTCTGTGGCCCATAGCTACGTGACCTGGTTACTGTGATGGATGGGCTCACAAATTAGTTAAGCATTGCGTTGTCCTATATAAATATATCTGAATTGATATAAATTTTCCTACAATTGAATAATATTAAAGTAATAAATTATTAAGTTATTTAACAGTTATATTAAATGTTTCCCATTACTCCAATGCCATGACAATGATTATTTATTTAACTCTTCATGCACAAGTGTTCATAGGCGTACTTAATGCCAGAGGCATTTTCTACCTCTAAAAACTTTGATAGTTAAAACTTATATATATTATTAATGTATTTTTATTTTTGCTTTATAACAAGAAATGAGTTAGATAATAGGCAGTAAAGTTGAGTGGAGTTCACTAATCCAATGTACAATATTTTAGTTATAAAATTTTAATCATGTGATATTTTAACTCAATGTATGGCCGTAACTTATTTATTACGCAAACCAAAAAAATAGGTGTTTAATATTTAATTAATTTACCTGACGGACGGAAGTACTTTTTATAGTCATGCTCACGGAAACCTAAAACTAGTGACTATTATTTATTATATAACGAGCAAGCGAAGGATTCTAAATATTAGAATCCTGAGCGTAAGCGAGGGAACCAAAAGAGCACGAGGTAGAAAATCTTTGCACTCGAGTGCAATACGTAACTTTTCATCGACCTCAACGAGGAAATAACTAAATGCAAGGAAAGCATTTACAATCACAAGATACTTTTATTTCAGTTTAAGTATAAATTACTACAAATAAAGTTTAAATATCTCTTACAGATTTATATAGTCTTTTCATTATAAAATACAGTTAGTTCATTTTCACAATCAATTAGTATTAATGACTCAAGGCAACATTGGCAAACTTACAGAAAAAGAAAATCTACATAGTCATTGAACTACTTGAGATAAGTTTGTGCTAAGAAATCTTTATCTATAAAGCTTAATTTGTCGAAATGTAGGTTTTGAATGTCTAATTTGTCGAGATGTAGGTTTTTCCAAAGGCCATATAGTTTGGTGAGCAGGATCGATACGAGCTTGCGGACTCTCCGATTTTCGTTCAGCCTCGTCTGTATATTGATTGTTTGAATGTAGGCCACGGATCCTTTATGAATCGTAAATAAGCGATAGACTGCCGAAATGATTATATCATTTTTATATATCGCTCGTATAAATACCGTAAACGTGACGTTTTACTGTTCACAGTGCGATGCAAATTAAAGAACATATTACAGGTCATTATATAAGTTGTTGTACCATTCATGTGTTTTTAATAATATTAAATTAATTCAGATGTAACAGACGACGGTTTTATCTTCGAGTGGCACTAATAATCAATAATGGTTCCGGCTTCTATACTATTTCGCTAAGAATAGCTGAACTTGGCAGTTAACCTTGCCCTACGGCGTGCCCACGGCTTCGACATCGCACAGTAAAAAGTAATGATTTATGAAGATTCATGTGAAAGCATAATTCGCAAATAAGTGACTCTATTCGTAGCATAGATTTCTAGGAAACGCTGTAGCAAGGCTACACGTGTAGTAATGTCATTGCTCCGTTAATAGGTCCTGTAGTTGCTACGATGCTATCGAAGAGTTCGTAGCGGGTGTTGGTTAATGTTTTACTGTGCTTAAAAAATCTTTTTAAATTACTTTGACGTTCTACGAGTGAAAATATAATTGATTAAATCACAGATTTTTTTTTGTACATGGACATGTAGAAATCGATCTATCATTTTATAAAATGAGAAAAGTTTTTAGAGCTGCTTTTTTACAGAACAGCCCTACAGAACTTGTAAATTAATTAAAATATAGAATTTGATACTCGCTGATTAGAATTGAGTTAGTTAGTTGAGTTAATTCATTAGAAACAAATTATGTAATATTGTCTTTTTGTAATGAAGTACAGGTAAATTACACGTGAAATTTGTTTCAGCCACCGAGCTAGACTTGCTTGGCGCCCTGTCGCTGCACAACACGTCACGATCCGGTGTCACCGTCGCACCGGGCATGCAGCCGCAGCGTACCGCCTACACATTGGAAGGTAATTTTTACAGTTGACTATTTTTTTATTTTATAAATGGTCTGAGAAATAGTACATAAGTAATAACATGTCTGCAATTAATAGTCTCGGAGATTTGGTGCAGTGTTTATGGAACTGCTACTAGCTTCAAGTACTTAAAGTGTTATATTTTCCTAAATTTATTTTTTATATATTAGTTATAACTTATATGGGTTTATATTATTCGAACATTAAAAATAATGCATTTTCATTTGTAGGTTTACTTTACTACTGATATTAATATATCCAAACCCCTAAACTTTTCTTACACTCATTATTATGATAAAAAGATCTGAAGGTAACGTCCAAATATTAAATCGAATACTATAGTTCTTCGAATACTATAGAAAACCTATGTTTTCGTGTGATATATTTTCGTTGAGTAGTTAATAGAGGTAGAGGGAAGCCAGCTTTAAACTTTTTTTTTTCGAAATAAAATATATATATCATAAAATGAAACAAAAACACAAATTGCATGATATACTTTTCAAAAGCTATTAATGTAATTTATAAACCAAAAGTGGATTCCAATTTTAATATCCACAATACCTTACATGTCGTTGTCTTGTCCTTTTGAAGTATGAAAGCTTAATAGCATATTGTTTCCATGAAAGATGAAGAATAAAATAAGAGTATATGATAGGGCAGTTAACAAGAGCAATTGGAATTAATCATGGAGTATTAAGCGAAAAAGCGTATCGATAACAATATTTTGATAATTTATTACTCTCAAACGAATTTTTATACATTCCTCGTACCTTAGTATATAAAAGAGTATAATTACGAGAAGACGACTGTTATACTAATATTAGTGGTTTTGCCGTGACTTTGCCTGCGTAAATTATAGCCCATGTCACCCGCGTATGTGTAGCTTCCAATAGGTGTAAGAATTTTTAAAATTGGTCTAGTAGTTTTGGAGCCTATTCCAATCCAACAAACAAACAATGAAATCTTTCCTATCTTTATAATATTAGTATAAACTATCTATGCCTAAAACACTAAGATGCATTAGCCGGCGGGTTACTATATCTATTCAGATAATTACATTCATAGTTTTAAGTAAGTGTCCATATAGTCGCGGTAATGGATCGTAAACTAGGGGCAGTCGGCTCGAATGTGCAGCCATTTCAGGTGCAATTCCACTTTATTAATGGAAACCGGCCAGGCACGCCTCTTTACACTTTAATGTCTCATATTTTCAGGTATCCAGTTAGTCCAATATTACTATATTTTTTATCGAGCTTGTATTTGTAGAAATATTGGAGTAGCATCTTAATGTTGAATGGTTCCTATCAACCTTAAGTTGATATTGGATTCGAATACCGTTGGGGTATTTTTTTTTTTGTTATGGTAATTTTTAAACGAGCCTGTTATTATAATCATTAAATTAACTAGACAAACCTTAGTTGAAACCTGTCAAACTGCGTTAATAATATCTGCTCTTAAATATTTAATATGCGATAACCAAATAGTGTAACAATAAACTCAAATTTAAATAATAAAAAAAAACATTATTTCATTATCGAAAAAAATATATATTTGTTATTTAGTTATTATCAAAATAATTTAATAAAGCTTCCATCCTTATCAATTTTCATGTCTGCAGTGAACATCTTCACCCTAAAAGATTATTTAAAACAAATCTCCGTCGGTCTCGTGTTCAGTTTTTTTATGAAGTAGATTGAGTGTACTTCCGAGGGTATCCTGAGGGGCGCCGCTATTGTGTTTTCCCTTGCTTTTTGGCATTTGCAATTTACTATTGTACAAGACGAAGAGGCCGCAAGGAAATTGATAAAACGGTTCAATGGCAAGGGTGCTGGAACAAAGATGGGGTGGCGTACATCATAACAATATGGTCCATGCTTCCTAATAATAATTGTTGATATACTGGCTAGCGAAGTGTTTGAATGTAAATACAAATCTCTAAAAAGTAATGAAAAAGAAAGCGAGTCATATATCAAACCTAAGTACCAAATAAACCATACTTACATAAATTACCAAACAATAAATCTCTTAATGAATTTTGTAATGAATAAATTAAACATATCTACTAATTTACCAAAACGCATGTTCAATTAAGTGATAGGCGGTAAAATTTCTGTGAAAGCCGAATGTAATCCGGCTGGAACACCGCAGGATTGGGGACGAGTGTGAAATTGATTGTAATCCCCGTAGCTACGAACCGGGACACGACCAGTAATTGTCCACGTACTTTGAGTTGGAGACTGATTAGCTCCGTTGGGACCGTCCATTCATTATGGGTTTCAATTCAACGCTTTACTTACGATATATGACTTATACGCCTCCTTACACTTATTACACCAATACGTCAATTCGTAACAAAATGATTTATTTTGCTGGATGTGATATATTACAAATTAGGCTTACCTTTTGCAATTAAAGTAAAAACTTGTTTTTTTTTATTCAAATTATCGTAATTTGATTATATGGATTTAAGAACTATTACTAATGAAGCTTAAGTTTGAATAATTTCTTTGAAAATTCCACACGAATTAATTAGCCCACATTCAAATAATACCCATTTTTCATTGACACATAAGTATGTGTCAATGATTTAAATTAAGGCAGTGCAAATTCCTTACATTCATAATAAAAGACGAATATTATTAAAATTATTTAGGTTGATAAACTAAAAATCATGACGAATAATCAGGGCAGATGTGTGAAATTTTTGTTGAAATCTAACACTGTAATTTACACAATAAAGTATTTGGAGTAATAAATAATATCTATAAATAATTTATTTCTAATTTCTCAACTCTATAGATTAGGGGACCTGTCACATTAGTCGCATTGCATATAAGCGTAACATAATCCTTGCCATTAGGCAAGTTTCGTAATTGTCGAAGGGTGACCGCCCTAATTGTGGGGATCGGAGACACATTGTCTCCGAGCGTTAAGTGTCAAACGTCACAAGCACAGTTTGCAGTCAGACAAAGAGTACTACTTTGTGAAGTGGAAAACTGACATTTAGAGCGGAAGCTTCGCTGGATCTCTACCAGTGTCTGTCGACAACATAAACTTCGTTTTGTTGCGTGACCTATTTTTAAGTGGAGTATTAAGGTCATAGCACATTTAAACGACTCAGCAGCAGCAGCACGGTATTGTCTCGTATTTTGATTACCGCTAGCTGTCAACGCTGGAACCAAGCGGCGTAAACTGCGATTTGCGAGGGCAATACTATATTGCTAACCGCGACAATGCTCCTGATGGCAAGTAGTCGTCTCGGCGAGCTATATGCATGTATCTATCTAACAACTTGAAGTTGACAGTCTGCCATTGACTTTTCTATATTGACATCACATCACATCACGATTTAACGTAGTCCATAAATATACGTAGTTGCTGGGTTGGATGCGTGCCGGTAAGTATGACATAAACCTTTAATTTTGAATTTTAAAAAATTAGTTATTTAAATAAAATATATTTTTAAATCCTAGCTACGCCTGCAATGCGGAAGTTTGTAAAGGACGGTCATAGTGACCAAAAATGTATTTTGAGAGCTCCTTCTTGCTTCGTAAGCACGTTAAGTAGTTGGTTGCATCAGCAGTCGTTATCATCCACTAATCCACACTGGGCCATCGGTTCCATTCATATGGAATACCCCAGCAGTGATAAAAACTTTTGAAAATATTGTAATAAAAGGATAAATTATTGTCACGACATGGAAATAGCAGAAACATGCAAGTTACACTTTGTCAACACATATCAAGTGCTGTGTAAATAAAAACAGCAATTTATAGTTCAACCAGAATTTTTTAATAAAAGTAGGATGAAGTTTTAAATATAGATTTCAAAGTTCAAATAATACACGCTACAAAATGTATAATAATATGGATATCATTACTCATTCTTGAAAGTGGTGCGTATAGATATAGATTCAGTGGTCTTAAAATATTGCTTGTATATTGTATGATCTGTCGATAGTGTAAAGTAATAATTGTTACAGTAATAAGTAAAAATTATGATTCCTGACTCAGGGATGTTTTGCTACGCATTTTGCTATCATTATATGTATAGTCGAAGAATAATAACAAGCCGATTATAATCGGAAATAATTGGCGGTCAATCAAATGTACATAATACAGAAATAATTGTAGTCAGTGCATAAAATTTAATATTATGTTCGTTACGGTAAATCATAAATACATTTAATTCTTTCTTTTCTAGCCTGCTAACATATGGGATAAAAATTAAACACGTTGCACTTTACTACTTACTCTACATGGAGATAGAAGACAGTTCTTATCAATTTATTTACATTTTGGTAACTCTTTTTGAAATAAAAACGAAAAACATAAATAAATGGTAAAATAAGAATTACATTACCGATTTTAATATCTAATACGAAATTAAAAAAATATTCGTCGTAAATATACTGAGAATATTTTTTTTCTGTATATAGTTGTCGTATGAAAAATTATTACTTTGTAATTAGACACCATGGTGTTAATACGTTAGAAATATCATCTATATCTTTAATAATATATTAAACGAAACTACAGGGATTTTCTCGGAGAAAATAATAATTGATTAAAAAAATGAAAAATATATCTGGAAGTTTCATATTTATCAAATGATGTTGAATGGTGTATGCTGCATTGACCCATGTCAGTGAGTCGAGTAGATCGTGTCGCAAAAGTGAAGTCATGTGTAAATATCACGCCTCTGACTAGTCCAGTTCAATAAGCCGAGTGAATCTGTGGGGTGCTGACCAATGAGCAAAAAGTGTTTACAATTGAACGAGAGTACGAAAATTTTTGCGAAACAAGTTTTTTTTTTGTTGCAGAATCAATAGGTTATGTTCTGTTTTCGTTTTTAATTCAGGTTAAGATAACAATATGATACAGATTTTTTTTTATTTTTTTTTTAATTTTTTATTGTTGCACGACAAAGTGACTGTAATACACCTGGTGGGAAGTGATATTACAGTCTAATAATAGTAGCAGCTGTCAGAAGTC